GACTTGGGGGTCATCATTGACCACAAGATGAACATGAGCCTGCAATGTGATGCGGCGGCTAGTAAAGTGACCAAAACGCTGGCTTGCATCCATAGATGCTTCTCAAGCAAATCTCGGGACGTCATTCTCCCCCTGTACTCGGCCTTAGTGAGGCCGCAGCTGGAGTACTGTGTCCAGTTTTGGGCTCCACAATTCAAAAAGGATGTGGAGAAGCTTGAGAGAGTCCAGAGAAGAGCCATGTGCATGATCAGAGGTCAGGGAAGCAGACCCTACGATGACAGGCTGAGAGCCCTGGGGCTCTTTAGCCTGGAAAAGCGCAGGCTCAGGGGTGATCTGATGGCCACCTACAAGTTTATCAGGGGTGACCACCAGTATCTGGGGGAACGTTTCTTCACCAGAGCGCCCCAAGGGATGATGAGATCGAATGCTCATAAACTACTACAAGACCATTTCAGGCTGGACATAAGGAAGAATTTCTTTACTGTCCGAGCCCCCAAGGTCTGGAACAGCCTGCCACCAGAGGTGGTTCAAGCGCCTACATTGAACACCTTCAAGAGCAAACTGGATGCTTATCTTGCTGGGATCCTATGCACCCAGCTGACTTCCTGCCCTTTGGGCAGGGGGCTGGACTCGATGATCGTCCGAGGTCCCTTCCAGCCCTAATGTCTATAAAAAAAAAAGCAAAAAAAAAAGCATCCAACTTGAACTATGGTCACTGGGTGAATCTACACATGCACTCAGAGTAGACATGTAACTCCATAGTAAAGCATCATCATCTACATGTGTTCCAGTATTAAGGTGGAGGAATTAATTCACTCTGCTGCAAGATAGTACTGTCAGAGACAGTACTATCTTGCAATGGAATAGTTAATTGAGGTGAAACACATGTATAGATGGTGACTGCAGGTATAAATTGTTAACCCAAGCAGCAGGGGGCCAGACACCTCCCTATCACCTAGCCACATGGCTTGGCACTTTAGGTACTCTCGAGCTCTAGCTAGTCCTGCCACCACCCAGAGCCAGGGCTTACCCCCTGAGCCTGCTGCTGGCCCCATCCTGCTCCACCCCAGCTCAAATTGATGCTGTCCCAGGTACATGTGTAGACACTGCACCCAGGAGCAGTGTACTCTGGCTCAAACAGTTTCAGAGTTTATCCCTTTTCATTAATTGCACATGTAGATGCACCCACTTAGAACTAGATACAATGAAGGACTTGTGCACATACAAGTTAGGTATCTTACAGATGCCTGACCCTAAGATATGGAGTACAAAATGCATTGTTAGGTAGACATCAAGACTCCCTGTACAGTGCTTGGGAAGACCTAGGCAATTCAGAACAGTGATCAAAAAATCTCCACACACTCAGCTGGTGGCCACCTTGACCTACAGCTGTTTGTCAAGGCTTTTTTAAAACTGTCATAACATAATAGGTAGAAGAAGGGGCTGGTGCTATACTTGACCTTTTATGCTGTAGTTTAGTGGTTAGAACATTTGGCCAAGTCACGGGTTCAGAAACCCATCTTAGTCTGATGGGCTTTAACAACACATCACTCACATCCCAGGAGAATTGCCCTAACAAGATATACATGAGACTGGGTTTGGATATTCTTTACCCTTCTTGCTGAAGCTGTGTCACCATGCAGCAAAGAATGGGAAGGCCAAAAAAAAAAACCCAAAAAGGATCTTTACTTTGTTGTCTAGTGCAAGGTTGTCAAACTCACCTCATGCCCTGGGCCACATCCAGACCTTGGGGCTTCTTGTGAGCCAAAACCAGACCAGGGGCATGGGGTGGCTGCTGTCTGGGGTACATGCCAGCATTGCTTATAACTCCAGCACAGGACATGTGAGCAATGCAGCACCAGTTCCAGCCCAGAGCATGTACTGGCAGCTCTGGCTCTGGCCCAGGATATACACCAGCAACTTCAG